ACAAACAGGTGAATTATAACTGAATCCTACAGAGAGATAAAAATGTGGAATCATCAGCATAGAGATGACACTTAGTTATTAGACTGGATGAGACATGGAAGTGAGTATGCAAAGAAAGAGAGAAAAGGTTAAGGACTAGTTCATGAGGCACTCAAATACAGAGATGTGAAGGAAATAAGCATTAATGAAGGAGATTAAGACAAAGAAGCCAGTGAGGTGGGAGCAATACCAGAGAGTGTGGCCCCATGAAGGTCTATCAAGGACAGTATTTCCAGGAGAAGCAAGTCATTTGAGCAGCAGTGTCAAATGCTGCTCACAAAAGCAGCAATGCTCTCATCACTGAAAAATGAGCTGGATTTGGAGGTAAATGCTACCCTTGATAAGAACACACTGGTGGAGTGGTACAAGAGAAGGCCTGAGTAAAGTAGATTCCAGAGCAAATGAGAGAACAAAGAAAAACAATAATCCTCATGTATGACAACTCCTTGAAGTTTCATCCTGAAGGATTGCTAAGGAAGACTGAATCCCCAAGTGTCTTGCTCACAGCACCCTGACTATAATGGGACTTTCATTCAACATTAGTGTCCATGACTCAGATAACACAAAGAAAATGAGTATTGCTAAAAATAAAGCTGAAGCACAGACTCCTGTCTACCTCTGCTCCACTCCTGGAGGGCAATGGCTGCATGGTGTTCCTAGACCCTCAGCAATGATCTCCAGTTGCATCCTGCTGTCCTGGAACTCCCCTGTCCCAAGGAAGGCTGTCTTACAGCCTTCTGTCAAAAATCCCTTAATGGGAGTTTTTGAATACAAGCTCAGGAAACAATCCCACACAGTGGGGCACAAGACCTTGGACTGCTCATCAGGATGAGAAACAGAGAAACCAACAAACAGTGACAAACTCCCTCAGCCCTTGAGGACTCTAATCACTAGCTAAAAAAGACCAAAGCATATGGCTGTTGTTAATTTTTGCATTTTTTAAAACTCCATTCATCTTTGAAGTTATTCTTGGCATGTCACAGCAACATCTCTCATAGTCCTTAAGTTTCTAGGACTTCCCAGAGCCAAGATCTAGAAAAGCCAACAACCTAGAAAACCAGAAATCACGAGGCTCATGCTAGAAGCCAGGTAGATCTTCCTTTGTGCCATTTAAGCATTGAATCCTGCATCTTCTGATCTCCAGTCACTTTCCATCAGTACCCTTGGGACTTGCTGTTTTTCTTTAAGGAAAAAACAAAACAACAGAACAATACAGACAAGTAACAGAAGACTAACATTAAGGTCAATGAGAGCAGAAACTTATCTCTTGCTTTTTCTTCCTCTTTCTGATCTTCTAATCCTCAATCTGCTCTTCCTTTCCATAGCCAGAGACAGACCACAGATGTATCTTATGTTAGGCACCTGATATGTTACTGAAAAATTATGTGTGAATATGAATTTGGCAAATTATACCATATTTTAAAATACTATTTAAAGAAATTCCATGGTAAATAATCTTTTTGAAACAGTAAGCATCCTTCTACAAGACTTTGGAACTACACATGCACTTCTTAATTTTTATTTGTATATGAGCTCTTGCCACGTCCAAGGCTCTGTGCCAGGCACATAGAAGTCACAAATATACCCACAGCCTTTCTTTTTCCAAGTTTATCTTATTGCTCAAGAGTACCTAAAACAAGTTAATTTTTTAACCAAAAAAAAAGCTGAAAATAATAAAAACCTTTATGAATTTATCAATTCTGAAAGAAGTCACTTTTTTTCACATTTAAATTTTTCTGAAATCAGGAGGTCTATGATAAATGATCACATTCCCCCACACCGTCCTTCAGGCTGCAGAGCTGTTCTCCTTTGTAAACCTTTCACTTATGCACCATGTTAGAACTACACATGCCGAGTTCCCTTGCTATTGAAAAAGTGTTCAAAAGGATTACAGTATGACATTGAATTGAAGTTTAAAATTATTATATATACAGGAAGGGATGGAAACAACAATGGGGTATTATTTTATTGTAAGTGAAGCAAATACATCCCACTGGAGGAAAATCCCCAATTCTATATCTTCTTGTAAGGTAACAACCATACATTAAGTGATGAGAAAGCAGTGTGTCACACTTCAGTTAACAATATTTTTCTTTTCCTTAGTGCTATCAAAATAATGGTTTGTCTCATAAAAAATGGTGACTTACATTTAATGGAACACAGTAAGTATGGAGCCCAGAAGTGCCCTAAGTGCCATTCACAGGTCAACTACTCAATCCTCACAGTAGTAGTAGATAGTATTCCTGGTATACAAATAACCCCTTGCCCAGTCCTACAGCTAGTGAGTCTGGACAAGAAGCAAGGTATTTGCTTTGCTCCTTCTCTAGCTAGGAAAATTCCCATGATGCCAGAAATTAGTCAGAGTTTGCAAGATTACTCCTACCACTGCATGTCCCTCCCCCCCATTCTTCCCCATCCAGTGATGAGAACAAGATGCTAGAGTTTATCCCTCAGGCTAATGACCAAATCCCCTGACTGGCCTTGCAAGAGCCCTATCCTGACCATAACTAACTATCTTCTCTCTGCTTTTTAATTAACACCTTCCAAGATATATAAACTTAAAATGTAGGCCAGGTTTCCAGATTTTCTGCAATAGTCTATGGCACAAGTCTTTATTTTTGACAAACAATTACAAAATTCCATGTTCCATCTTTCGTATAACTTGGTCACCCAATTTGGTTGTATGTTTCCATTGTCAACCTCTTATCAACAGTTGCAGGAAGAACAGGAGAGAAGCAAGCACACAAAGTCCCACAATAAGGAGAACATGGAGACCTACTGTCATCCTCGGGTTCTGGTGGGTAGTCCTCTACATTGGGACAGATGCAACATGATAAATCAGGTATCCAAGTTAAAGGGCTAGTCCAGATGTCATGAACTGGGAACCCAAAGCTATCTTTAGTCATATGAAGCTATCTTCACCTGATGCAGAATGGGCAAAGGAGGAGATCTCCAAGGGAGGCAGGGGGGACTTAAACTTTATAATTTAAGCTTCACTCACTCACTGCATTCTACCTAACAGAAATCAAGTTAATAAAGTATTTTCTTATCCCAAATTCTGTATCACCAATTTTTTTTTAAAGTGTGTATGACTGAGGGTGGACAATCCTAAAAGGATTGACTCTTTTTTCCAAAGTGACATAGGAAGGCTCTCAGGGTTTCACTTTAAAGTAGAATTCATCTCCTAACATCTAGATATGAGGGGAACTATACTTAATTCTGTATACAGGCTAATTCATAAGCAGATAGTAAGCTTTACTTTTTTATTGTTGTTTTGTGGTATTCCATTCTTACATTTTGCTCATCTCTTCAAAATAAAAGAATAAAAACCAGTTTTTTGCCAATTATGTTAGGATGACTTAGATTCCACATTAGTTCATGTTCAGACTTTACTGATAGGCCAGTAGCTCACAATCACCTATTTTCTACTGTTGCAAGGAAAGGAGCTAGGTCAAGAGGCAGCACATTGAGCAAGCAGGAGAACAGGGGTCTGAAATCACAGGGTCAAGCCAGTGGAAGAGGACAGAAGCAATGATTATGAAAATTTGCCAAGATTTCAAATCTAAGCAAAGAATATAGTGAGATAGTGAGGGGCAATAAAAGAGCTAGGAAACACAGGGGAAAGGTGGTTATGGGGTGGAGATGAAAACTAAAGTACTCTGTTCAATCTGCTAAGTCTAGTGTACATACACAACACCCACAGGGACAAGGTATCCAGAAGACAAAAAGGATTCATGTGGACTTCAAGGGAAAAGTCTACAATAGACAGACATGGATGCCAATATCCCAGGAAAGAATAGATGAAACCATGAGAATGGCAATAACACCAAATCACCAAGAGAAAGCACACAGAAGATGAAGAGAATCCAGCATATGCCCAAACCTGAGCTTGTTATCAATGGGAAGACAAAAGAAGAATACTCTCTGAAGAAGGTCAAGCTGGAGCAGTTCAGAGGCAGGAAAACCATAAGAGAAACTCGTTCTACGTTACCCATAACAACTGCACCCAAGATTACAGAAGTAGGCAGTAAGCAGAGGCTGGCTACTGGACTGCAGGCTTTGCTACTATGATAGGACAGAAACCACTGTGCTAAGAAACTGGAAAAAGGAAGGGAAGTCAGCTGTATCTGTCCATCCCCCAATAAAGCCTGAGGATATCAAGGAGAACAGGACAGGACTGTAGCTTGAGGGATAATGTTGTAAAGAGATGAACTGGTACAATTTTATCAACCAGTAGCATCACCCACATAAAGAGAAAGGCATCAAGTATATCTGGTATCAGCATTATGACAATCTGGAAATAAACAATCATTCTGCCCATTAAAACTCTGCCTGCTCACTGTTTCACACTCCTACTTTCTCTATCTCTCTCCTCTCCTCTTCTCTTTTCTTTTATTCTCTTCTCTTCTCTCTTTCTCTTCCCCCCTCACATAATGACTTCCCTAATACAGATATAAAACAGGATCCATTTTAGTAAAATGTACTTTAAAGAAATTTCATAAACTATACATTTTGAAATTCACCTTATAATCAGTCAAGAGACTGTTAAGTTTCAAAAGGTCTTGCTGCTTTTATATGCCTAAATTTGCCATTATCATAGGTCATTAGAGGAAAAAAATACATATGTAAAAATATAAGTAAGCTATAGTTAACCCCAAAGTAGTACTGAAAATATTAGCAAAGCACCTACACTGTGATATTAAACAATTCTTCAATCGTCCCAAATACTAAAGATTGTTTTCCTGCATGCTGTTGTATATGCAGTGTGTTAGTGTATGTTTTATGTTTCCCTAAAAATATTGCTTTTAATGGCGGGGATTTAGCTCAGTGGTGCCACCTCCTGCCTCTCAAGTGCAAGGACCTGAATTCGATCCCCAGTACCAAAAAAAAAACCTGCTTTTAATCATTAAATGACAGGCAGGGTTGTAGTAATGAAAAATGGTCATGAAAGCAGCAAATACCTGAGGTACTCACAGCTGTGGAGTAGGGATTATGAGCTCCAGTATTTTCAGCCCAGCAGCCACATCCATAAAGAGCAGCCTTGGAGAAAAAAAAAAAACAGATATAATAATATTTCAGAAATGTTATATGTAACTATCAGCTTTCTACAGTGGACAAAAGTCACACCTATCTAATAAAGCCTAGCTTATTAGCGATGTTTAACAATTAGATGATAATACCAGAGATTGTACAAGAACTACTCAAACAACGGTCTTCACACTCTCAAATCTATCTTCTCTTCTATTCTTGACATACGATCCATTATTGTTAACTATATTCACTCTGCGGTGCCACAGAACGCCAGAACACATTCTTCCTACCTAATTATAACAATGTACCATTGACCAACCTTTCCCTACTCCTCTGCCTCTCTGTTCCTCAATCTCTGGCAACCCCAATGTATGCATGAATTAAAATATCACAATATGCCTCGTTATTATTATGTGTCAAAATAAATGACATATTTTCAACTGTTCTACTAATCTAAAAATTCTGAGTAGCAAAGAAACTGCTTTAGTCTCATCAGCAGTAGTTTGTTTCCTCCCCTGAAAAGCTTTTTCCCTTTTAGGGTTTGTCATTTAGCAATTGCCTTAAAAATAGTTGGTTCTCAAGCTAGGTATATACTGAATTACTTCAGAAACTTTCTGATAAGAACCTGGGTTTCAAGAGACTCTGATGCAGTGTCTGGGAGAATCCAGGGAACCAGCGCTATTAACCAAGGCCTTGGAGCACCAGGGTGCTGGTAATCTAACTAAACCACCCTCTAGGAAACAGTTTCAGGAGGCCTTTTTCATGCCTCCTTCAGGGTAGCACAATAGGAACTGCAAACAGCACTGTACCAAATAAGGCCAAGCATATGTTCTCCACTCTGTTAGATTCTGCCAGATGAAAAGAAAGGTGACAAAAAGGCCTGTTCAAGCTAATCACTTTGTTAGGTGGTGGTGCAGATTTATACATCTGAAACTGTCAGGAACACAATAAGCTACTATGGTTTTACAAAAGATTATGACAATCATTCCTATTTTGTTTCCAATAATCTTCCCCAGAATGTCTACATTCATCTCCTCAACATCCAAAATGACTACTCTGTCTTGAGAGGGGAATCAAAACTAATAACTTTTCCATTCCTTGGAAACAGAGTAGAAAAATCCTTAGTTAATAATCAGAGAAATACACAGAGGCATGCTTGAGAGTTCACTACCACATGGTTGGTAAGAATGAGAAACTGGAAACAACCTAAATGCCAATCAGTAAAGAAATGCTTCGATAGACTTTGGCAGAGCAATACATGGAATTCATTGCAAAGATTAAAAATAAAAAGAATCAAGTTTAAAAAAAAGTCTTAAGAAATGAATACACAAATATATCCAAAACACGTTGTTGAGTAATTTTTTTAAAAAATCAAGTAACAATACATTCAATATTCACTATAAATGGAGAGGAAAGCTACACCCATAAAAACAGTACTTTAATTTTCCAGAATTTACTTGTGGAGAATACACTAAGACTGGGAATGGTGATTAGACAGATATCAGCTTTCTATGATATTCTACTATTCTTATAAGGACCTTAGGACTCAGTTGCTCCAATATTTTATAGAGTAGGAATCTCCATGAAACATCTCCCCACTTCTGATTCTGAGAACCTCTCTACCTCATGGAAGGACACAATTCCCAATCTACATGACATTTCCCAGTTCTTCCTTCAACTGAAGTTCTTCCTTCAACTGAGAAAATATCTGATTTAATTTCCACCACAGATTTGTGAATTATTCCTCAAGGCTTTCAGATGTAAACTCCTACCCCTCTTCCCTCATGATTTTCCTTTATGAATAATCCTGTCTAATTTATTTAGACAGAAAGTCTCCCATGCTCACGTGACCCAAAGTTGCCTTCTCTGTCACTAACAATATCCCTCATAATTACAGAACCAAGAACTGAACAGGACACTTCCAATATGGCAAAAAATGGGCAATCTGTTATTGCCTCTGAAAACACTACACTTCTAAAATAAAGGCCTTAATGCTGGGTCAGTGTGGCAAATGAAAGCCCTTCAGAAGTGACTCAACACATGGACTTGACTCCAGAAGACAACTAGAAAACTGGAATGGTAAGTCATTCTACTGGTACACACTGGGGCAAGTGCTGGGTCAGCCAAAGTTGGAGGTTGCAGGGCCTATTGTCCTTCATGGAAATCTCTAGACATTTATCTACCATCCTCTCCATTCCCCACAATTACCTTAACCTGCAGACTGCACTCAAAAAGGAGAACCACAAGGACAGCTCTGAGAATGCAAGTGGAAGTCATATTTCTAGGAACGTAAGAACACTGCTTACCCTTTGCTTCCCCTCTCCAAGTAATGTCCTTTTATGATGCCCTTCCTTAAGTTTATGACCCAACATTGCCTTCCTTCTTAACTTTCTGAAATTGGTTAGGTTGAAATTACTTACAGGTAAGATAATGGGAGGAATCAGAGGTTGTCTTTCTCTTATCCATTTCTTTGCATAAAATACAGCAACTTTAAGCAGGTCTTTAAAACTATTAATAAGAGCCACGTGTGGTGGTGCATGCCTGTGATTCCAGCACTCTGAGAGGCTGAGTCAGGAGGATCACAAGTTCCAGCCTAGCTTGGGCAAATTAGGGAGATCCTGTCTCACAATAAAAATAAAAAGGACCGGGGATGTAACTTACTGAAAAGGCTACGTGTTCAAACTTCCTCAGTACTGGATGGGTAGGGGTGGAGGTACCTTCCTTCTTCTGGGTAGTAAAAGTTTATTCAGGATATTATCATGTAGCAAAAGTCATATAAATGATTTAATATTATTATTATTATTATTATTATTATTTAGCCTTCTCGGAACCACTGTTTCCTCTTCTATTAGATAAGGATAGTAAAAATACCCACCTCATAATGTTGCCACGTGAATTGTGTTGTCACATGAATTGACAAACCTGCTGTACTAGCAATTGCTTAATAAACAGTAGCTATACCTTTTATTATTAGGGACTATGATATGCAATTTCAATGCATTATGTCATTTAAATTTTCAGAACTTGATAAGGGAACTAGGAAAGTGAACCTAGAGAAGGGAACTAGAAGAGGAAACCTGTGAAAAGTGGAGTTTAAAGATGCGGGATGGAAAAAGAATTAAGATGTGTTATGTACGTGTACCAATTCCCCAAGATTGAATATAATCATTATGTACTACAAACATGTATTAAAAATGAAATAAAATAGTTTTCTAACAATAACAATAAAAGGATATTGAGTAACTTATTCAAAGTACAGGGAATGTTAAGTGTTGAGCCAAGACTACAATAAAGGTTTGCTTGAATCTGAAGTCCACATTCTTAACAACTAAAATCAACTGTATGCTTGTGTGTAGGTGGGTTGCAGGGAGTGGAATATACAAATTCCCATGTACCAGTTGTAAATTCTAATTATTACAGTAAACTAAAGAAGCAATTCAAATTGTTCTAATTCAAATTGCCTTTTGACCATTGGCACTGCTATCACATATCTAGTTTTTAAATAGTTCACTTGAGCATTTTAAATGCATTTAAAAATACTTCATTTCAGCACATTTTCTTGGTTTGTTTTTGAGGTACTGAGGATTGAACCTAGGGCCTTCACACTAGAGATATATTTTTTTATTTTGAGTCAGGGTCTTGCTAAAGTGCCCAAGCTGAGCTCAACTTGCAGTCCTCCTGCCTCAGTCTCAGAGTGCTGGGATTACAGGCATGCACCACCATGCTCAGCCACAACTTACTTTTGTATTTTCATTCTGTGCTGATTGAAAAAGAAAACTATTCATCTCTCATCTGATTCTTCTGATTTCCAGGCTTATTATATCACCTCCATCTAGAAGTACATATCAATTAAGCAACTACAGTACCTTTTCTTTTTTGTAAGTACTTGATTCCTCTCCTCTACACCTTTTTCTAGTTTTTCAGCTCTATCAAGTTGTGTATTCATGAAACAGCCAAGTGCAGTAAATCAACACATAAATTTTACAGAAGTATTTCTTCTTCCAGGACAGTCCCATGTGCAGTGGCAGAATGGCTTCAAGACTGTTATATGTAATATCCTGCTAACATAGTCCAGAACTACCCTGGGTTCTATTGTTGTTATTTTACTAATCAAAACAAACATAAATTGGTGAGAAGTCATGGGAATTAAAATGTAATGATGGTAACTCTGTTGGCTTTTTTCTCTACTTCTCCATGACAGCATCCAAATCTGATACACCAAGCTTGATTTTCTTATTCCAAATTCGACAAATACACAGAATTTTATACTATGGGAAAAAAAATACCATGACCAGACAGGCTTTTATAATGAGTTCAAAGCATTGTACGCATGGTGAGTAATCATTCTCCATAAATCCTCTGTATGGTAGGCAAAAAGTAGCATAAAGTTAATTATTCTTCCCTTCCACTTCCCACTAGCATAAGACTTGTCCACATAAAGGTCAGGAAACAACATAGTGGCTTTACAAATATATCTTCCATGAATCAGACACTTGGCTCCCAGCATTTGATAACACCATCACCAAAGCAACTAGGACACTGACTCCTCTTCAAATGTGAGAAACACAGTAGAACAAGCCATACTCCCTATGTAAAGCAAGATCCAAATACTGGGTTTAAACACATTCCCTTGAAATTACTTCATGAGAGCTTCCAATGTATCTCTTCACTTAACAGATTATCTAGCCCATAGGTAATATGCTGAATTGGCTTGTATCAGAACACTCAGTACCTCAGATGTGCTATTAAACTTTATCTGCAGTGTTAAACTAAAGATGGAGATGGGGAGGGTGGGAGGAAGAGGATATGTAAGAGAGCTGGAAATAAGTGATTTCACATAAATTAGAACCTCCTCAGTTCTAGACTTCTTGACTGTTATTGTGGGTTAGTGACCTGAAATCCTAGTTATTCTAGAAAATGCCTGAAATTCTTGATCAGAGGAAGGAAGAAGAGTGGCAAAATTTTACTGCTCCTTGAGTGCAGAAAATAAAAAATGTAACTAAACTAAAATTTCTTTCCCACTTTAAAAGCAAGCAGCAAGACAGCCAGGTACAGCTTAGTCCTAAAGACTAGCATTTACAAAAAACCAAAACAAAGGAAATCTATACACATCTATTAAAATGTCTACTGAATGCCTACCCCCATTGGATGTATAAACTAGGATTATCAATTGAAAATATCAACCCTATTACTGTGAAGTAGAGCTTAAGAAAGTCTTAAAAAGGTATTTGAATTATTATTTATACTTGATAAATGCCAAAGAACAATGATATTTTTTTCTTTAAAAAAATGGAGGAGGGGTGCTAGTGGTTTTTAAACTGTGAGCCAGAGCTGCGTATGGCATACACTTATAATTCCAGCACTGTGGGAGGCCAGGCAGGAAGACTGCAAATTCAAGCCCATTCTGGGCCACTTAGTAGCTTAGCAGACCCTGTCTTGAAATCAAAATAATAGTACAATAAAGGGCTAGGGATGTTGCTCAGTGTAAATGCCCTGGGTTCAATCCTCAGTATGGCACCAAAAGCAAACAAACAAACAAATGTGAGCTAGAAAATTGTTGTATTTTGAAAAGTGAGTTTAAAAACCCCATAATTACTTACCTGCCCAACCCTCCCTGGATGTTTCAAAGCCAGGCCTCCACTGGAAACAGCAGCAGCAACGTTCCCTTCATGGTCCACAACCACAGCACCCACCGTGTCCAAAGTGCCTGAGTCATTTTCCTGAAGAACAAAAAGGGTATGAGTACTTGGTAGGCCTGGAGGGGAACAATGTGATACTCCTACATGGCACTTTTCAGTGAAATCATAATGCTATAACATCTGAACTAATTCTGAAGTGCAACACTGAACAATCTCCTAAAATTATTTATTATCAAGTTGCCATTTAAATCCCATGAAGTCAAAAAGTATTTTCCCCTGAAAATTCCTGAACACAAGGTATTTCATTGTCTTTCCCTAATAATATTTTCATGGTTTCTCTAACAAGATAAATGTGCCCTTTTAATGCAAAAAAGTAATAACTGACTATAAGTTATAGAACACAGCAGTACCTCCTTAATCTTGAGAATTAAGTTTGTGCTTGAAAATCGCCAGAGGGTGAGATTTATGGCAGGAATGAATCAATAAATGCTGTCACTGGTGCTTTTTAAATGTAATATACATAAACTTCAAAAAGTAATATATTTAGGACAATAAGTAAAGAGAAGAACATTTTTGTTCATGCAGTACACCACACTGTCACTCTCTCTTAAAATTCTCTGCTTGTGTGAAACTTCATGGCATGCTCCCTCTCTGCTATGCCAGAAAGCTCTATGTCACTGAGAGGCATCTTTGTGGCTCTGTGTCTTGTCCCAGGCTCCATATGTTGACAGCATTTCACATTTAGTGACTATGAGCAGCTGTCTTCTCTTCTACCACAAGGTTTCTGGTCCTGTGTGCCAGACAAACTACTGGATAAAAATCAGAATTAAGAGAGTCAGAAAAAAAAAAAAGGTTCATGGTGGGGGTGTCTTTCTCATATTAAGCAGGAAGGTTAGTGTAAGTCTTTAGGTTAATACACTCACAATACTGTTCTCAGGCTAGGACAGTGGTTTTCAAACCATTCCACAGAACTCCAAAACGTGCCTATACTCCCACCCACACCAGGTATGACTGAGCCAGGTACACCTTCAAGTTCAACAAGAGTAGCTTCCCCTCCTGTGTGCTTTACTGCACATACTATCGAGCAAAACTTCATTTATACTAAGGGATTCCTGCCTAAGAAGTAAAGTGATACATTAAGATAGTCGCTGGAAATGTCAATAAGCTCCTAAAGCAATCTCAGAAGTTGAGTGATACTGAAAGGAGTTTTTAAATATCAGAAACACAATGTAAAAAAAAGATTTTTCCTCAAAACAAATTACAATTCAGAGGTAGAGTATACCACAACAAATTTTACATTAAGTCTGATGGGAGAAGATACTTACAAGTTGACACTTACATTTCTTGCTCTAAATTCTAACATCCTTTAAATGTACTGAAACATTGTGATAGTACTTACTTTGATACGAAAAGTTTAAATGGCTGAAATGAATACTATATTCCCCTCTTTTAATAACCCCTAGAGGAAATCTAGCCAGTGGATCTGCAGAGTTCCAGAATATCACAGTTCTACTCATGGCAAGAACCTAACTTTCAAAGACAATTCCAAGTCTGACCATAAACATCCCGAGGAAAGGTCTGACTTACTCTCTATCACTTTATGAATAGTAGACATTCGGGACACACTAATGCTTTAATTAGGACATCTGTATCATGGAGTTACAAAGCAAGCCTGTAAATGATTATATAAGCCATGCCACTCTGATATCAGAGCCAGGATACCACCACGTTTCCTCAAGAGTAGATTTCATGCAGTGTCAGAGGCTGTCACATTCTTAAGCAAAGTCTGTCTTCTTTGATAGGTAAGATTAAAAAACAAAAGGCAACCAGGTGTGGTGGAACCTGTAATCCCAGCACTTGGAAGACTGAGGCAAGAGCCAGCCTGGGCTACATGGTAAGCTCAAGGCCAGCCTGAACTACATAACAAGACACTGTCTCAAAAAAGAAAAAAAAAACAAAAAAACAGAAATGCATTAGGGAGGAAAAAAATTTTATTACAGAAAAGATGGATAATCCTAAAGAGAAATGTACTTTTAAGGTGAAGACTTGTTTTATTATTCTAATAAATAAATTCTAAATTTTTACATCCTTGCAACCTCAGGTTTGTTCTTTGTCTAGATGCCAAGTCTTATGTCCTCAAACTGTAATGTGCATGCAGAGGACCTAGAGAAATTGTTTAGGGCCAGGGATTTAGCTCAGGTCCTGAGTTTGATCCCCAGTACCAAAAAAAGAAAAAAAGAAAAGAAAAGAAATTGTTTAATTGCAGATTCTAATGGAGCAATCCTGGGCCTGGTAAAGACTGCACATCTAGCACCCTTCCAGATAACACCAATGCTGGTCCATAGATGCTGCTCTGAGAAACCAGGTCTGACAGCATCCTACCCATTATCAACCAATTGCCTGATCCATTCATTCCAAGGCAAATTATATTATATATATTAAATATGCGGAAGGACAGAAAAGATTTTAGTTCTGTCTTGTTCATCTATCAGCTGACAGCATTGTCAGACTACCAGAGACATAATACAAAGTATTTTAAATACTGATCATACACTGGTGGTTTTGTTTCTTTGTTTTTAGAAACAGACAATACTCATACAAATGAACAGATTTAACTTTCCTCAACAATAAAGTAAAGACAGAGTAATTGTTTTTAACGATAATTTTTGGAAAATTATAAAGTTTTTTTTCTTTCTTTTTTTTTTTTTGGTACCAGGAATCGAACTCAGGATCTTGTGCTTGCAAGGTAGGCGGCAGAACCACTGAGCTAAATCCCCAGCCCCTAAAGCTTTTTTTCTAAATTGCTTTATTCTGGTCTCATTGCCTTTACATGTATTTTATTTTCATGACATATTTTATTATCATTGCTAATGAGTATTAATTGTATAAATTAATAGGTTTCACTGTGATGTTTCCATAAATGAAGATATAGTGCTTTGACCGTATCCATCCTCCCTTCTACCTTTTCTTACCCTCCCCAGCCACCTTCTTGTTCCCTTACAGTAGTCCTTCTACTTTCAGGTCATCTTTCTTGGAAATATTATATTTTTATGGAAGGATATCATTACTTTTTGCCCTTCCACTTTGTTATAAAATGCTGGAAAGTCTTACATACTTTTATTCCCTAGCTTAGGAACATTGTAAAGTGACTGTCTTCATCTGAGCCCCCAGATAAGAACAATTGTTTCTGGTGAATAATCAAATTATATCTTTCTTATTTCACCCTGTAACTTTGAAGGAAGGTTATTCACTTATTTTTAATCAACAAATAAAAATTACATACATATACATAGAGCGTACAACATTTTTTAAATATAGATTATAGAATGGTGAAGTCAAGCTAATTAACACACATATTACCTCACATATTGACTCAGTGAGAATGCTTAAAATACCCCCTCCCCTCACTCCCATCCCATTACAAAGCAATTCCAGGGCCTCATGCATAATAGGCAAGTGCTCTACCACTAAGCTGAACCCTCAGCCACTAAATTCTACTCATGTATTCCTCATAAAGTCTTTTTATAAACTGCAACTGCTGATCCTACCCAAGATTTCTACAAGATAGAATTTTATAGTGGGGATATATAACATGTATACAACACACATATTTTTTCTGTAAAGTAATTTTCCTGGAATTTCAGTGTATTGTAAACTATGAGAACTTTCATGCCTAATCTATTTTATTTCTATTCTAGAAAGACACAACTAATGTCAGCAAAACAAGACTATAAATTTGTGGATTTACTGTAACTTAGTTTTTAAAAATGAAAAATCATGCAAAAAATAGAAGATTCTGCTCCAAATTAAGCTACATATTCCTAAGGGTCTGTAACACCTGCAAAAATCAGAATTACTTCATAATACTCAAGAATTATTTCACAGACTTCATATACTGCAAAGCAAATTTAAAGTTGATGAAGGATTATTTAAGCATTTTTATGAAGTGCAGATAAACTGAGTGAAAGACAAATACTGGTATTTTTGCCATAATAATTTCACAGAGCGCATCTGTATGGAAATAAAAATCTTAGGTTAAAAACACACACAATGACCATTACTGTATAAAGCTAATTTTACACTCTTACATTCCATAAATACTTAAAAATGCATGCACCACACAGATACACATGCATCTATTGTCGTTAACTGAAACATGCTACTCATTTTACTTTTTGATAAAATAGTGACTAAAAAGCAACTGTAAAAACTGTAATTCTATTCAGAATTAACACAAGTATAAAAAAGTTGGCATACAGAGTGCAAGTGTTATAGAAAACATTAAAATAAAACTTTCTTGAAGTAATTAGAAAATTAGTAGGCACTTTTATTTTCCTCTGATCCAAGCTGGAAATGGCTATTACAAAGGTATTATTAAAATTAAATGAAGTGACACACATAAACTACTTTAAAAGTAATAAATCTCCTAAAAAAATTTAAGATACTTCCCACCAGAAAATAACACCTGTAACCTGTTCTCTAAATCTGAAATAATACCTAAAGACACCATTTATTACTAATTTGTCTCATTAATATGGTCTTTCCTCAGAAGTACTCAAATATCAAATAGCTAAAATATAAGAATAAATCTTAAATATACAAGTGCATCTTGAAATTGGTGTATCATGGGTTTTTCTAATATGATATTAAGGATGCACATGTGTGTGTGTGTGCATCTTGCTAAGGATCCAACCCAGGGCCTTCCAAATGCTAGGCAAGCACTCTGCCACTGAGCTATAACCCTGCACACTTTGCTTAAATATACCAAACCCCCTAATATACCTTTGTTAGGTTTGAGAGCAGTATTATAACTAGCATAAGTTTCCAATTGAGAAAAGCAGATGACTTGTGCACTTCCAGACAGGGCTAACAACAATGCTACATAAAGCTTTAACATCTTTGAGTATCTGAAAATGGCAAGATGGCTTTAACCACAAGAGATGGAGACAGGGCCAGAGATGGAGACAGGGCCACTGTGGGGTAGAGCTATCAAGTATATTTAAACAAAGTCTAATTTAGCTAGACTTGTCTGCTTTCATGCATGTGGATTGGCTCAATCCAGGGAAAAACTGGACATAGGA